AAAGTAGAAGGCAGAGGAAATGGAAATACTCATTTTTCTTTTAGTTTCTAACCTACTGACAAATAAAGCTGGTACGATTACATTTTCTTTCTTATTGATTTTTATATTTGCTTGGGTTTGAATTGACTAAAATTGATTTCAGATTAAAAAAGGCACTCTGTCGAATGCAATTTTCAATATCGGACCCTCCGATCAGGGCGGTGCCCCCTTAAACTTTACATTCAGTTGCACACTAATGTTGCTCACAGTGGGGTTTTTTCCCGCCACTTGATCCGGCATTTAACCAACGGTGTCAGAGTGAAAAGATGTAAGAATGATTATAATTTGCTTTAAACCATAATGCGTTGAAATTCGAAGGTAATGAGGTAAACTGAGCCGTGTGGCGGAGCAGGGGGAAGTCGGGACGCTCCGTCGTCAGGAACGCGCGGGGCTGTGGGGACACACGGGGGAGGGTGGTGGTGGTGGTGGGTGGAGGGCTTACGGATGAGGATTTGCACAGAACATTTGTTTTGGGTGGAGTTGCCGTTTTCCCTCCCTGTTGACTCTTTATGCAAACCAGAAGCAACCGAGCAGAAATCTGCCTCCGCACTGACAGCTCATCGTTTAACGCCTGACTTGTGGAGTGTGCAACGCATTTTATTAAACTCTTGCACACTGGGACACTAGACGAACGTCTTAAAATGAGATGGGAGACAACGGTATTGGTTTTCTCAAAACTCTTTTAAACCACCGTGGAGTTTGACAGGCAAAAAAAAAAGGTAACTTTCGGATAATGGTTGAAGTTCAGATTCACATCTTTGCCAAGCGAGCCTCCAAACAACTGTGACCGAGACGTCCCAGAAGAGACATCATCGGATGAAAGATATGGCACTAATATCCTACCATCTGCTCAGCCACTGAATATCTCCATTAAGAAGATAGATATTGTAGCCGGCTAAAATAATGTGCCATCAAGACCAACAATCATCCATTTACGTAAAGCACAGGAACCACAATGTATTGCAGCTGGGACGACCAGGGAAAGCTATGTTTACAGAGGTTTGAACTGCACTGAGCAGCCTGAGGGGAATTCACAGAGTGCATCAGTAATACCCCCCCCTTCTCACACAAGCACAGTGGATGACACGCTACATTGACCACAGGTTCAACGAGAATTTGACCATTTCATTCCACACCACTGGGTAAATGCTAGATGGTTGCTGCCCACACAGCCCACATTTGCCCATTGGCGTTCCCTACACCTGTACGACCGCCGTGTTTGTTTGCAGCACGATAAAGTACAAATATAACTCCACTTATAAGCCTGTTTTTAATCAAGAGAGATTCGTGGATGAACAGTTTCCAGTTGTGGATTAATGATGGTAAATTGTCATCTTTTCTCTGGGAGATAGATTTAAAAAAAAGAAAATGGAAAGTTAAGAGTTCCCCTGCTGGGTGTGTTGAGATATGCGTCACACTCCCTGCATTATCATGCATCTAACCGATAATAAGGGTCTGCTTGGAAAAAAAACCCTCTGTGCTCTGATTGTGTAAAAGCATGCAATTGCAACTTCAAGTCATAGAACTTAAAATAGAAAAATCACCATTAATAAAACCACAATTGTGCAACATTATAACCTGAGATAGTAAAAACTTCCACTTTTATTACATGTGTATTTTCGAGTTACGTTATTCTTTTTAATTGTAATTACATTCAAATGATCATAATCTCAGTGGGACTAAAATGTCTACTTATATGTCACTAAATACAATACATTTTTTACTCTTCTCTCTTTCCTTTGAAATAAATTCCCCACACAATTATTAGGCTATACACATTTAAATACTACTATCTTTTTCACACAGGGGAAAACTAGTGAAAATACTGGTATTGGAAACAGCGCCGCAGGCCGTAACAGCGCACAACAACAAACGGCTTTACCCAGAAGATTACTACTGTAATGTATAACACGACCGACCGGTGCTTTATGAGCAAAGTGATGAAAAAAGGAAGGCGTCAATACAAAAGCACTCCCCGTCTAAAATCACTGAAGTGCAATTACGACAACGGTTTTATAATCGGAGGTTAACAAGCACAAGAATAAGCAACATGACATCTTTTAAGCAGCAGCGAGTAACGGAACACAGGGAAACAAAAAATGGAATGAGCAATGTCTCCAAAAATTGGACCAGGATTGGCTCAGACTAAAATTTAATTTATTGCAAATGCATTGCAACAGTCTTAAAGGCGGCAGTCAGCCTTGGGGGACTGACTGTGATAATGGATGTCTAAGCCCTCCGTGCGGCATGCCGCTGCTCTGTGTCAGCGCAGCTCCTGTGACTGTTGTGTTTTAAACTAACAGCAACCCAAAAGAGTCAGAAAAGAAAATGATACCAATGTGTCTGACTTCCCCGGTAATCTTGAAGACTAGAAGGCTTTGTCAGTGGGTTTTTTCTGCATATTAATTAGCCGCACACAAAGGCGTGAGACGTTCTGAATCACTTTAGATCTCACTTTATGCTTTCCCAAAGTTGAAAATAAATCTTTTCATGCTGACTATTATTTCGAGAGTGTGTATCCTTCTCTCCTTTTAATTCTACTTTATTAAGGTGGTAATTCCTGCCATTTCTGTGATTTTTTGTCCTGTGCTAAAAGTCTGCTGTGAGAAGAAAATCATCATATGGTATCCATGTGGGTTTGCCTCCACATGCCTGTGAACATCTTTCATTAAATATACCACAATATGTCCAGGGGCTTGCAGTGGAATACAGTCTGAAAAACAGTCCGGTTGCCAATTAGCATATACTGATTCATATTTTAGACACACTCTCTGCTACTTTCCACCTGTGGTTCTAATAAAGAGACTTGCTGTTCAATTTGTCTCCAGCTCCTGTATAGGATCCAAATATTACTTCTATGTGGAAAAATATTAAACATGGTTGGGAACACTATTACATATATCATTATAATTAATTGACGGCCCTCCACCAATTCACACTATACTATACCAACACCTAGAGGCAATGTATTTATAGCTTCAATAACAAACAACAGCCTTGAACTTTGCTTAAATTAAATATTCCAACATTAAAACGATACATTTAAAACATTGGTGAGACAATTTGTATATTACAACTTATATATTCTACATAATATTTTACTGAGAAAATTAAATATAAACCTTTAAATTGTCCCAAAGCAGAACTAGGCATTCGATGCATAACAGTTGTTGTACCATCGCTGTTCATAGGAATTCTAAATAAATGAACCATGTTGAGGTGCTTGGACGATACACACGAGGAACACCAAATATATGCAGTGAACTCCGGCTATTATAGGGTGGTGTGGTATTATCAGCAACACAATGATACACCTACTGTGACAGGTTTTGGTCAAGAGGCGATTACCAATATATGTAGACGGGGGCATATCTTAGTCATAAATAGCAGCCACAAGAACTAAATATGGCAAGGGTGGATATTGTCTCGGTTTTGATGAAAGATGGGGAGTATGTGTCAGGTTTATTAATATGGACGAGTTGGCATGGTAACACAGTGGGAGGTAAATCGTGGGTGACGAGTTGCAGAGGGCATGTGCAGACAAACTTTGTAACATCTTTATAGAAAATGCTGAAATTGCTACAAGGATTTAGTAAGGTACTGAATTACAAAGTCTATCAGTTTTGCATCACAACAGCGGCAGGAGCGCTAAACCTCTTTCGAGATTAGTGTCAGGGCAGCCCGGTTAACATGAATATTGAAAATAACAGATAAGAAAAAAAAAAGAGTATTGCCTGATCAGTGTTGGTCTTTGGCAAACACAAACAGCGAATAGACCAGACAATTTATAGCCCCCTCCGAACTAATGAGCAGGCTACCGTCCTCCAGCCACTGAGCTGTCTCATCAGTTGAATTGCTTTACAAGCCAGGCCCGCCCCCCCGCCATCAAAGGCCTTGGATCTGAAGTTTCCAGTCACCCTGTTCTTGTAAATATGTCAGGAGAAAAGCTCTATTGCGCCGCTGTTTAGATACATCTGAAAAGGTTTATAGATGACGGCAAATCTCTAACAACAAACAAATTAAACACACGTAATAGTTATATCCAAAAAAGCATATTACATGATGTATTATTGTTACTGGTCCTGTTTTCACTAAACTACTTTCTATCTCTGTTATATTGTAAGAGCCTCACTACTATCATCGCTGAGAACATCTTTGTTTTTTCAAAGGGCAATTTCTGTCTTTGTCCTGAGTTTAAAATTAGAAATGGGAAAAGAAGTAACAGTAACAATGTCACATTTACCTCACCAAGACAAGAGCAGACGACATCATGCTGTCACAGTATGTGTACAAAGAGTACCGGTCCACACACCACGGGCAGTGTGAGTCATAACTGTTTCTAGCCATCGGGCCTCTACGGGTCCATACACTAAAGAGCCTCCTGTAACACCAGAGCATCCTATTTTTGGCACATTAAATGTTATAGATTGCTTGCAAATATCACGAAAAGCCATATGTGGATGCAGCAGATGGCATGAAAATTTAATGAGTGACATTATCTTGGGAAAGACACATTAAAAACAAGATGATTATGTAAATGAATGAATTTTAGACGACATCCAATACTTTATCAGTCTTTTAGCGGCAAAGTCAACCATCAACTACTGACTAGCAGAAGCACTTAAAGTTACTTAATCGCTGCATGTTGGCGGGCTTCATTTGTTGTTTGTTTCATTAACTGCTCAGGTAATTGCCTTTTCTTTATAGGTCTTATTATGATTCGTCAATTTAAAAATGTGCTCGACAGCTTTGGGAAATTTCAGGTGTGCAGTTATTCCCACACTAAATGGAACATAGACTAAATGAGAGAATACCGCATCACTAGTGGGTCCAAAGTCGCTAGTTCGCTAGTTAGCTAGTTAGCTACAGCTCTGCTACTAATTATTTAGCATTGACAGCAAAGTGTTGATGTCAGCACGTTACAGAAAGAAAACCGGCACACGATGTCTAGTAGCACTTACCATGCAGCCGGATGAGTCCAACTGTCTGTCAGTCACACACTTAAAGTTCTTCTTGCAACCACCGTTATCTTTGGAGCAGTCTCGGACCGGCCCAAAAGATGCCAAGAGGTCTTCTACAGTGTCAAAGTAAGTCGACATCATGGCCTCTTCCCTGTAATGGGAGAAAAACAAAGGTGAAAAAATCCAACAAGAAAAGAGCCTTTCATGTCTTCACCAGCCTCTAGAGGTAATGAGTGGAAAGAATTCTTAGGCAGCTGATATATTTTGTGCACTTTTAGAGGCTTTACATGTTTTTATATAATGGGAAAATGTTGTGGCGTGTCGGTGCCCTTCCAGCTGCTATTAACCACTACAACACAAACAATAATGCTAAGTGGACGCATCAAAGCATTCTTCATCAACGTGACAGGTACCCTCTGCAAGCTTGAGCTTCATTTTGTGGCCAGCGGCACAAAGGCAAGCCTTACTAAACCCAATCCAAAAGTAGTTGGGAAACCAATGTACCCTGCGGCTGGTGTGGAGTTTTTTTAAAAACAGCTGTTGTAAAAGTTTCACTGAAGAGAGTGTGCCTGCAGGCGTTCGTGCCGGTTCACCGTGGGTCGTGTCTGCGCCTAATTGGTGTGTTGGTAGTATTTGGACTTGTTTGTCACTGTGTGTTGACGGAGAGCCGAGGGAATCATTAGCATCGACTAACTCTCAGGACTCATCCGAGGGCCGAGACAGCAGAGGAAGAACAAAACAAATAAAAAAAGGAGAAGCACAGACAAACCGAGGCAATAAGAGGTGAAATTAATGGATTCCTCAGTTCTTCTTTATTTAACATTTTTCCATTAAGATATCGTTATAACATCATTTTTTCATTTGTGGAATTTCATGGATGGCTAGATGTAGATAATCAAACATTATTCAAATTACATTTGTTGTTCGTTTTTGTACGAAATAGGTGTAAACGGATGTAAAAGACAGGCACGCTAGCAGCTCCTTGAATGAAATGCTAACGTCAGTTCTAACATGCTTGCAATGAAAATGCTAACATGTCAATGTTTAAAAGGTCATTTTTATCTGGTGCACCATCTTAGATGGTTGTGTCAGTGTGCTAACATTTGCAATTATCAGTTAACACAAGCCATGGCGAAGGCTGATGTGAATGTCATTAGTTTTGCAGGGATTTAGTCGTAAACCGAAGTATTGGAGAAATAAAAATGATGGCCTGCTGCTTGCGCTGGATGAAAAATCAGGAGAACAACAAAGTAATTTCTATTTCACGTGGAAAGCACAGGACTGCACCAATTGAATTGGCAATTCATCCAATTGATGCTGAGACATTTTCCTTTAAAAACACAAATATCAACCTTGTGGGAGCTGTAGAGAACGTGGGGGGATTACTAAAGTCAGTGTGGCTTCCATCTCCTGAGGAGAAAGAATGCACGGTATTTGATATATTTCGGTCTGGAGTGTTGGACGGATCTTTGTCGCCAAACTGGGAGCCATAAATATAATGATACATTTTAAGTTTGGATTGATATCAGTTCTGGTACAATCAATAACCTGCGCGTATCACTCAGCCAGTGCAAAAGGAGGAATCTGCCATTTCCAAACGCTGGATCGTTATACTTTCTTCTGAAAAATGTCAGCTTGACCACTGCTATACAGCTCAGCTGCTGTGCTCACTTCCGCATGCTCAGCCATGCCCGTACACTGAGCTCTGCATGCCAAACTGAACAGCGGGGGTAAGCAACCCTTGTCTTTCTCTTTGCAAAGGAAAAAAGTACTGTCTCTGGCAATGTGATCTCATGGATGTTAGTGTGCTGTGACGGTGACTCGCCTCTACAAACAGAAACAACATCCTGTGATGATGTGAAGAGAGATGCGCTGCTGAGGGAGGAGGATTGCGGAGTATGTCCACAGTTTTTGTGTGTTTGTTTCTATATGTACTTGGGTGCTTTTGTGGCAATGGTTGTGTAATATAAATCCACTGAACATGGTAATATATATGAGGAATCAGGAAACATTTATCACCAAAATATATTTATATATATATATATTAGTATATATATAATTAGTTTTGTGGTTACATTGATTAAAATGTTCTTCAATGAGCGAAGATGGCAAATCAGACTCTTATTAACTCAATTTCTTTTGTGCGAAAACAATTGTACAATAACCGTCACCGTCGGTGACGTAGAGCAAAGATCTAAACGTCATTCACCAAACAACTTCAAAATTCAAATTGTATGAAAATGTGCAGTATTTTAGGTAGATGGGACAAATACCACTTTCATTTTCATTTACAAAGTACATTATTTTTTGGTATTCTCACTGTCTACCCATATGTGGTCAGCTTGGGAAGCTTTGACTGTTTTCAGCAAAGGATTCTATATATTTAAGTGTTTATGTTATATGTTTTATTCTATCAGCTTAAATCTCCCTTGTGCGAGCAGAGAAGTATCAGGGCTCACTGACAGAAAATAGGTACCGTCGGCTTTCAAAATCTAACCCTTCCTGACAGCGCTGTGCTGATGACAAATCGCTCAATGTCACACTGCAAATATAAATAAAACACGTCTAACAAACGAGTCAAGGAAAATCCATCCATCAGGCCGAAATGTGAATAGTATTCTATTTTATAATAGTTTTTTTGTTTGTTCATAGTATTCAGAGTAGTATACGTAGTATATGGCCCCTAATGGGGCGAAGGCCAGGGGTGGGACAGCTGTATTCATTGTGTACACCTAAAAACATTTTTTTTTGAGGGGAAGTGGCCCGGTGTGGTGTGTTGAGTCACCCGCAGCGGCCCAGGTGACTGAAGAATTACACAGCTCCAAAAACTGGGAGACGTGGGAGCTGAACACAACTCAACAGCAGCTGCATTATACGTTTATTCGACAAAGTGTTTTTGGCACGCACAATCAGATCACTTTCGCCGATTGGGCCAATTACATACTTGGGTTGATTTGTCATTTTACTGCGCTGTATAATTGTGTAGCAACAACTGTGGTATTTGTGAGGCCATTCTTCAAAGCATCTGTTTCTCATAGTAAAACTTGCCCTTTTTGAAACTGTTACCGATCCACTGGACCCTAAATCCCTAAATTGTCTTTGGAGGCCGCTCTGCCATAAGCTGGACGATCAATAATCAGCCAAACTGTGGGGTGCAATCTCCAGCCGCACACAGGAATGGGCTCTCACACTGAACACCGAAAGATTCATTGTTCAAATACTCTGTTATACACGTACTGTTCAGCTGTAAATGCATATCGTACCCAACACAAGTGGCATGTGCGTAGTAGATGGTGCATATATCTGATTAAAACAATGACAATTAAAGACAATTAATTGTCAGCACGTTTCCTACATTTAAACCCGCTATTAAAAAACTGTATTTTCGGGTGGTGTAACAGCAGATTGATATCCTTCTAAGTGGCAAGATACATCTTAAATGAGTGTGTGCCTTTGTATGTTCATGAACTGGTATTCTAGTAGCGTTGCAAGTCAGCAGTGGCGTTGAGTTTTATTTTCCAATTTCCTCCCGCACCAGCGGATTTGGTGCTCCCTCCACACAAATCTAGGAAGAGTGGGTAGGGCGAGGGGTCAGGTTGCAAGTGAAACTGGTAATGATTTAAAAGATATATATTTTCTATGTTTTCGTCTATCGTGCACCTCCTAGCTGTGGCTTAGTAACTGCCCCTGGGTTGCCCTCATTGCATTGTACCACAATCCTAAAAAAGTCAATTCTCTGCCTCTGCCTCCCACGTGTTATTCTTCTCCTCTTCATTTGGCAACTCAATTCTTTTTGAATTAGACAGGCAACACATGGCATTTTGCGCATCAGTTCTTTCTGGCAGGCACTCAAAGAATTGACAAATGACTCCTTAATTCAGAGGGAAAGCCACGGTGGGGAAGGTGAGGCAGCAGACAAAAATAATGGTTTGCCTCAGCTGTGAGGTGCATGCTAACAGGCTGCTCTTCGAGACACAGGGAATAGAGTCAAAGATGAAAAAAGAATCAATTCCGAGATTGCTGTTGCAACACAATCCAGAAAGCCGAAAATTGAAGGGGAAAAGAATTCCCTCAAGGAAATTCACAAATTGGGGATGTTGGAAAGTTTTGATGCAAAACATACTAAATCATGGCACACAGTGCTGAAAGTATTCAGAAGAAAATATTGCTTCTCATTGTTTAATTTGTCATACCCTGAAGCTAAAAGTGTATAGAACTCTACCCTCGTAATAGGGAAATTTGTTGTATGCCAAATCAAAAACACAATTATATCTGATAATGCATCGTCTCCAAATCATTACCTGATCAAGGTCAGCTCTTTTGCTCGACCCAAAAGCAATGACTAATGCACTTGTTATTAATCTCCCACTCCGCCTCTTGCTTTTTCAGATGATGAATGGCTCGGCGACTCGGCCCAAAGTTGGAGCGCCGCTCCAGCGTGATTACGCGGCCCGTTATTGGACTGCCCCGGCACTTGATTAATGCTCTTGTTTCAGCTACCCACCGATATGCTGACTCTCATCAAGCGCTCTCGTCATTGAATAGAGTGCATTTTCTTTAAGCCCACTGTAATCACTGAGGGAAAATCCAGTTGGTGAAAATAGCAGGTAAACGTAAGTGATGAAATAAAAGCTGACATTTGATCGAGATTTGGGGTAAGAAGAAGAAGGAGACTTATTCACTGCATTTTGTTCTTGGTGTCAACCTCTTTCGGTTGGATTGTATTATTTACTGCGGCACATTTTGATGGTTCACTTGATCACGGCGAGTGATGTCATTAATCACCAGAGTGGGCTGTCAGCAGCTACTGAGGGTTATTAACAGTTCCTTATCGACACCAATACTGGTCTCGAAGCACAGTTTAGTGTGGCTGAACTATTTATATTGTGACATTAAAAGGTTTGTGGATACTGGCTTTGGTTCAGCGGTATGAAGCATGGATGCAAAGCTAATGTAAGACAAAATTCCAAATAAATTATTGCTAGTGGAAAATTGATATATATATACAGTATTTTGAGCTTGAATGTTATGCATTATGAATATGTCTGGGGGTTACAGCATATTCAACGTCTCCTTGCGTCTGAGCAGCCGAGGAAAAGCCCTGATTCCACCAATGGACACAGCAAAACACTACGGCATTGCTTTTGCTTTGCATTAGTTCCAGGTTTTGCTCCCAAGATAACCTTATGAAGAATACTTTGAATAAAATCCTGTATCACTGCAACTATTTACTGGAGGTTTATTGACAAATATCAGGCTATTGTTTGACTTCATCGCCAAGCATTCCCCACTCAAAGAACGGCAAAGAGACAAATCATTCATGGAATTTATGATAGATGATGAAGAGGTATTTCAAACGTAGTATATACATGATGTGTTTAGATATCAAGCAATTTTATATAGTCCTAAAATATAATAAACCACAGCATTCACTATCACAATTGTTGTTGTTTTTGTTTTAAGGCAACTTACTATGGTCATTAACTAGGATGAATCTTCTTCTGTAGGGTTTACCTTTAATTTACAGGGAAAAAGTGAATATATACTGAATATAAAAGGAAAAAACCTTTTAAGATACAGCTTGGCTTTATTGTGCTTATATTGCAGAATTTTAACTATTCATTAATATGTAAATATTTAATCTAATCAAATTTTGGCAACCCTTAAGTGAAGTAGGGTAGTACTTCATATGAAGTAGGGAGGTTTGTAGTCAGGGAGGGACTTTGTCCTATTTCTCACATGTCTTAACCTCTATTAAGCTCTGCAAACTGAACCCTGTGGAGAGGGACACTCTCATTTGCATGTAGCAGTGAAGCCAATAAGGATGGAAAATACGTCACAGCACCTTGCATGTTTCATAGTATCCATTATCCATGGGAATGAAATAGTAAAGTGAAAAGCATAAATGCCCCTGGTCAAGGTTGACTTTGACTTTATTTGACTCATTTTCATGAAAGAAAACAATGTTCATTCAGTGGCTGCAGAGGAATATCTAAAAATAATAAAAGGCAAAATAACTCTGATATGAAATGCTTTTCATAGTTAACAGCAAAAGCTATAAACACTTTGAGTAACACTTTCGATAATGGACAACTCATCAGCATGAGTTGACAGAAAAACCGGAAAACGGAGAAATTGTATTTTAGAGAAGGCTGGTGGAGAAATTTGAGTGCTTTCTTATTAAAAAAGCATGATATTTGGGGACAGGATTAACAATATTAATTTCACCAGGTTGTTTCTGCAAGCAAGACCGAAACGAAACCAGGACACATGAGTACAGCACCTCTCACCTTTTTTTAAGTCGACATGTATATCTTGATAAGTTGAGCACTTCAAAGCCTGCAAAAACACTGTACGAGCCAGAAACTCCATGAAGTCCCACGGGACATTGTTCCATAAAAAACGCTCTAGATAATGAGTTGCTTGAATTATTCATGACAATCGGATGGACCTCTCTATTGTTACAGGAAGTTATCATTGACTAAATACAGAACATGAATTCATAATCAGTCAAATCGGGCTTTTAATTGCTTTACGATGTATATTCCTTCCTTCAAGGTTGTGATGTAACCAAATGAGTTCTACTCATAACAGTGGCACTTGAGTGACAAAAAGGAAATACACAAAGGTAATAATTGCTTTGAAATAATTGTTTTTCCTCCAGTAGCTAAAAGAGATTCAGAAATATGTAAAACTGTCTGATCAGATCAAAATATAGTAGGCGTGTGGTTTTAAATGGTTGATGCTCTAAAACTTGTCCTCATTTTTCTAACTCACAGTAACTTATCAAAACACTTTTTCAAAGTAAGAGACATACGTTGACTAATAAATCTGTGCCGCAATCCTATTTTCGTCAGAATGAACAGATGTGAAAAATTGCCTCCGGAGTTCTATGCTCCGGAGGCAATTTAATGAAGCCCATTTGAACGTAGAAATTGCAACAACAATTTATGTGATACACAAAACGCACTCAACTTCAGTAGTGAAGTGATAACTAATGACTATTTTAAACTCCTCGATCTGAATGTAGGGGGATCTGATTAAATCTAAACAGGTAAAGTTCTCGAGTACCCCACCCGGTAGTTACCCCACTTTTTGTTTTGTGTTAATCAATTTACAGTGGTAAAACGGCACAAACTTTACTTTTTTTTTTTCATTGGCACATGAAGACAGAATTATCTAAAATACAGAATCTCAAAGTCCCGGACAAGTTAGTTTTTGTCCATGTTGACTAGTGGATTTCTGTGTCAGGGATGTGAGGATTTAAAAGTGACCTTTGACCCCGCGGTGACTTAGATACTAAACCCTCACGTCGTCACTCATCAGTGAATTGATACCATTCTATCCTTTAGATTTTGGAAAAAGGGCTAATTTTTCTATTGAGCAACGGCAAACCATTTGGTTTTGAAGGGGGATATCACTTCCCTGGCTGGTGTGAATTTAATTCCATAGATGAGTGATTGTTCTAATCTGCAGCTGACGCTCCGCGGTGTTTTGTGATGTTCGGCTGCAGTGAGGCATGCCGGCCCCTACTGGCTGGTTGGATGAAATAATTGCTGCCAATATTTCGTTTTGGCCCTGTGCGAGTGCCAAATCCATAACCTTGTTGACACGTCTTTCCTGTTTGAATTCATTCTTCATGCTCGTAGCCCAAAGTTAGGATATTTTCTAACAGCGCTTTGCCTGCTGCTTCAATCAGGTTTAATTACACAATTTAATGCTTGATTGGTATTCTGACTTGTATTTCGGAGAAACAGTTTTAATCATTTTTTAAAGGAGCTATTTCAAAGGTCTTACAGTGTTTTAGTCATGTGTTATCTAATGTAAAGTACATCCCTTTTCAGTGAGTAAAATGTTTTCTTGTGTATGCTTATCTTGTTAAACTGCCTACAACAAGAAGCATACTGCTTGATAGTGGCTAAAGACATTTATACGGGCACGCAGAGCTGTATGATTAGTACTGTGAAATTCATACATGCCTGTAATATAGCCAATATAAGTGAAAGTATATAATAGTTGGACTTACACTCCACAACACAAAGTAGCTTTATTTTTAAGCTTCATTCCTTAATGAAATGACTGAACAGTCAAAATTGTCGAGCCTATTAAAAATGAAAACAAATAAACCTGACGTCCCACGAAAAGTTTTTATCAGGACCAAACGGCAAAGACACTCAGTTTGTCTTCCAAAACAAGTGTGGAGCTCCGAGCTGAATCAGACTGACCTGACCTCTCCTGGATCCTCAGTAACCAGCACATCTGTCTTACAGCTGGCGATGGGGTTGATTGACAGCTCCACTGGTGGCACCACAAAGCTCTTGCTGACTGGCAGCCACAACCCTTGACCCAGACTGTAGAATGATCTGTGTTGACACAACCACAAGAACAGATATGGAAGGATATTTAGTTCATACATTAAAGTATGTATATATATATATATATATATATATATATATATATATCTTCTTGTCTGCCAAATATCGGCATTCGTTTTTTTTTTACTTATAGCCAATTTGGCTGCCAGTGCATCACAGTATCATCTGAATGCATCACACTCGTTCTGACCCTCACTATGTGACAATTTGGCCTCAAAATGCTATTTAATGTAAATCAACATTGAATCGATTTAATCCTCACCCACAAATTCTTGAGATCATCAGAGGGCTTATTTCCTCACTGCTCCAAGTTTGCAAAAGTGAGAGGCATCAGAAGTTTGTGAAACCAATGCCTGTTAGGACTGACTCTAACACTGTCAAGCCGTAGAGCGATACAGTCTTTTTTCCCATTATCCTGTTCACAGTGCTGATATAAAACCCATCCAACAGGAACCCAGTGAGAGTTTACACTTGGTTGGCGAATCTTCACTGACTTTGTCTACTATCTATATGAGTGTGTACATGGCTGAAAGTCTGCTGCTGTGTGTGTGTGTGTGTGTGTGTTTGTGCAACTGTCCTTTCATCTTCCTCCTCTCAGGACTTTGACCAAGCGGTGGATTGCTGCCTTTGTGTATACCTGCGCTATCGGAATCCCATCTCCGACATACCATTGTGCTTTTAACTAGCAATGTCCCGCTGAAAGTTGAAGTGGGCCATTGTGTACGAGAAAGATTGTGCATTACCCGATTTTAGAACGAGTGGACCCACGCCAAGAATGAAACTCGGTGCCAAAAGCGTACATACTGGAGAGGGCAATGAACATGGCACCAACATGGCGGTAAAACAAACCAGTATGTGCATTCACATGTTGACATTAAAAAATAAAATATCCACATAATATATATCTGTATGGAGAGTAAACATCAACTGTGAAAACTGTTAGACAAAAAGGCATAGTGTCGGCAAAAGACAAACAGCGTTGTTGTTGTTCTGGTTATTAGTTTCCCAATCAGTGGTTAGAAATCTGTATTTTATTGTTTAGCTCTTAATTGGTTTAATATTAGTTTGCAAACGTTCTACATGTCGGCCTTCAACTCTTTAGTTGCTACAACAGCCTTTTTACCTTTACTCTTCTGCAGTCAAAAAAGGGTCACTTCATAAAATGAAAAAAAAGCCCAAATCAAAAATGCCAAACTCAAGGCTTCAAATTGTCGTCCCAAGAACCAAGGTCGACTACGACCGCATCCTTTCCGCTTCACGACCCCCCGTGCACTTGATTCCTACTCAAGTTTCCCATCTGCAAATCCGACTGCAACAAAACACAGGCATACACAATGAGCCCATCATGGGGGAGAAGTGTAACGGAAATGGCGGTAAACACATTTGAAAAGAGCACATCCAGGACTGCCCCTCGGGCTACTTCGCCCACACGGGAGTCCTCATCATCCTGTGTTTGCGTGTCCGTCCGACTGCCTCTACGTGTGTCCACTCATCCGTGTGCTCCATCACACACATTCAACTACACGCCAAGAACCCCACCGTCGTCCCATTGTGTGTCCACCGGGTCACAGACGGCAAGCAGTGGAGGACTCACCTGAAGATCCTCTCGGGGGCCTGCTCCCCTGTGACCAGGTCATAACCTTTCTCCAGGTTGGCGTATGGCCAAGGACTTGAGGAAAGACAGGAGGGGGACACAAAATCAGAGAGAGAAATCTATAAACATTACAATGTCATGGTTAACTTTTATAATTACTGTAAATTAATGCAAAAAAGGATGTTCTAATTGTTTGTTTTTTTAATTCACAAATACATGCAGCACTGTGTATGTAATAAAATGCATCTCACAAATGGATATATACAAGGTCAAAACTAACGTTGCTTAACAGTGTTTGCATACATGTGAGTCTACTGGACTGAATCCAGGCTGATGGAGTTGAATAACAATGTGGGACCTTTTCAACGAATCGATCATTGGGCAAGCCGGCTAATTGTCGAACAAGGTCAGAGTGAGAGATGAGGCTCTATTGACTCATTTCCTCCTTCCCATCACGTCAATTCATACGATTCGCCTTTCTTTTGTGTCGACCTGAATTCATGTGTGTAGTTCTCTCTACACGTTTCTATACTTCTTCACTATCTGGCCTGCCCTGCTTTTTTCTTTCATTAACTTCTTCTCCTCATATCTGTATTCCTGATTACCTTCATCCTCACGTTAAAAGACCTTACAGCTACTGTCCACTTGCAAGCTCATAACTGCAAATGGCTTATATTTGACACGTCACGTCATTAGATTGATTTCTTACCTTGATTTTGAGTAATTGCATTACTTTGGAGATCAGTTTGAAGAGACTTGAAACTTTCAACAGATAGCTAATCCATCACAGCCTACACTTCACCTTTATTTTATGTGTAGTTAATATTGGGCATCAACGCAAGTGGGAGAAGGTTGAGAAAGCTGCCATGAGGCTTTTGGATACGAGTTGGTAGAGCAGAGGCGACTTACCCTTCGTTCCGACCCCAGTCGCTGCGAACACAGAGGTGTTTGTGGACAGGATCGGTGGAGTAACCCTCATGACAGCTGCATTCTCCTGCAATAAAGACAACAAGGAGGGGTGCAGTGGTGGATATTCATTTGATGAGAAAACAACCAGTAACTGACCCTGGTTACCTCATTCCTTTAGAGGTCTATAAAGGAAGCAGATGTCACGATATCTTATTTTACATTTCTCTCACGAACAAAACTTGAATAGATTCCAGTGCCATTAGTTTGACATTTTCCTGCAACATTTGATACAACTTAACGTGATCCTTGCCATAGTCTGTTGCCACAATTCACGTTTAACCCCAGAATACTACGGACATGTGCTTTACTTGTAGTAAAAGACCCCTGTGGCTACTGGACTGCCGACTCAACAAATAGACTTTTAGTTTAAATTGTGTTATACGTGAATATACTCAGATGACGTTTAACACACCAATGGATTTGCAATTTGTTTATATCATGTGTTTCATCAGTTTTTACTAAAGTTAGAAATGCTTTAGTGTTGCGTATGGTGCATTTAATATCCGGCTCGTTTAATGCCTTATGTGAAGTTTCAGTGTCATGGTAGCTTTACCAACTATTAGCACTGATCCCAAAATAATATGTTTCTGTTGCCCTGCAGTATGTGGAGGCATAACACTGGAAACATGTGTAATGGCCACCCAGGCAACCCCATCCACAATTTTATCACCTAGTGTTTAATAATTTACTGGTTGAGTTTATAGGCTTAAGACTCACTCACGGAGTGCTGCACCACCGGGACTAAGTCACCGAGAGGCAACAAACATGCTTTTATTCGCTTTTAGCGGTTTAATGAGCCGTTGCTAAATGTGGAGTAATCGCTCTTGAAATGGCTCCCCTTTCAAACGTGGGCGCAAGTAAACATCAACAACATTCAGTCACCGTAGACATTCAAAATAGAAGATGATTGAAAAATGTGAAAACGGCAAGATGATTGTATATTTTCATGATTTGGTCAAAACAACTTCTAATCCATATTTGTACACAACAGTTTATGTCGGAGACAAAGTGCTCAATATGCCATGAGCTGTGTAGTCCAAATTGTTTTGGAGCTGTGTTCAAATTTCATTTTTTAACAGTTTCCTTCCAGATTGTCCTTAGTCTATTTTTCATTCAATTAATGGCTCATTTTTCCTTACTAACGGCAGAAGCACTTACTGTTCATTGTTCGAAAACAAATATCTCACTGACATCCTCCCCCTGCAGACTTTGTGGCTCTATTACAATGGCACACTCCGTGCTCCTTTGCTCGTGAAAGAAAAACAATTAAAATTCATGTTGCAGATTGAGGGCTTTGTCAGTTGAATTCAGACATATTGCAATTCTGGGGAATTTTCCGAAACGATTGATGCCGTCATTTTTCTTGAGGAGGCAGTCGCTGCAAAAACATGTTCTGTTCTTTTCTGTTCTGGTGCAATAACTCATAAGCACACGTACACCTCCATTTCCCACCGCTGCTCACTGCCTACACATTTAACCTAGTTAAAGTACTTTTCTCCTAACAGCCAGAGGCCCTGCTTAATAAAATCCATCCTGCACATGTGCAGTGAGGTGGCATGTTACCAGCTACATGCTGGAGCCATTGTGAGTAGGCCAGTTTCTTTCCTCTTCACTTTTCCTTTTCAGTCTGCCAGATGCTATATTTGGCTTTTGCATTAGCCGTCTGCTAATGTTTAGGCTAACAATAGCATCTTAGCTTGAGATATATTTCTTATATGGGCCTCCTGCTGATGACTGATACTCAGATTGTGTTTTGGTTCCAGAGGAAACATGTAATAGGACATGAACAACATATTTCACACCACAAAAGCGAATCAGTACCTCAATTAGGAGTTTTCTGCCATGTAATGCAGCCATTGCGAAGCCTATTTGTCTCATTTATTGTACAACAAATATGAAACAATACAAACGTGTATCAAATTTAATGCAATAAAAAAACAACCTACCCTGAATTATTGACTGGTAATTGTAACTTTAGCCAGAAATGGAAACGCAATGAACTGAAATGTTCAGTTCATCGTCAGCGTATTTTGTTTGAAAATGTACAATTCTACCTCCATATATGAATAACTTTGTGAAACATGACCGGCTTATTCCCAGAGACAAATTGCGCTCATGACCTGAATTAGATGTTGGAGAAGTTCTTCTTTGAGCAATTTGGAATTGGACACTTCTCATTTAATAGAGAGCAGGGTCCACACAATATAATTAACAATATTGGCAACGATATTCGACGGCAGAAAAGAGAAATTACACTCAATTAAGCGTGGATAATTGATTCATATGCCTAGCTCACGCATAAGAACATGCTTTATGAATTGTACACCGGTATATGCACGAGGACCTGGAGGCAGGGACACAATCTCTGAGTCTTTTACACGTCGCCTTAAAATGAGACACACCCGCATGGACGCACAACCTAATCTAAGACACACCTTGCAAGCAATCAGTGGAATGTATTTCGTTCCTTTATGCAAATGCCTTTGATGGAGGATCAAGCAATTAATGGGGAGAAATACCCCCGGCTGATTACACATGCTGCTGGATTAACTGACCTTTAGACAACCCGCAATAATCAGTTTTGGGAAACAGTTTATATGCTTCTGAAAAGTGGTTCAGGCATGTGAGAACGGGAGGTTTTGATTAGGAAGACAAACTTAAACTGAGTGTAGCAGTTTCTTTAGAGAACTCAAATGGAGTAGACAAAAGGTGAATAAATAGCACAAAAAAACAATAGGAAAAGGAGGAGTTGAGCTGAATTAGTTAATGAAATACTGTCTCTTGGAAAGATAAAGTCAGCAGTAAAACACCACACAAGGAGGAAACGAGGAGATAGGATTGTGTGGTCATTAAATTTGAACTTCACTGATCGGCTAATATGCTTTGGCAACTGCACTCATTTTTACATGTACAGTGTGCAGTTGCCTGGAATTAAGCTGCAATTCCAGGGACGCATGAGCTATATTATTATCATCCATTTGCTATGTGAGTTTGAAACAGTTGCTGATGTGTCTCAATGGTATATTTTTTACAAATGTAAATTCATGTATAAAGTGTATTTTACATTGTTCATTTAAATTCTTTTATTTTGTATTATCATAGGAATCTGTGTCACTCCTCAAATCCGCATATTTGCACATTTGATGTTGGGATTATGATGAAATGTAATTTAATTTGTCATAAAATTGATCAGAGGCTTTCACAAAGGAAGGAGTTAGTAAGTGACATCAACATTTTGTTTCTTCTTCTCGGGATGGCGTTGTGTTACAAAGAAGATGAAAATGTTTCTTTCTATTACACAGACAGACCTATCTAGCTGTCTTCTAATTCTAGCTTTAAAGACTTATTTGAACAGCCGTATAAGTGTGTGACAAAAACAAGCAATATATGATCTTCACAATCATGGAATTGTAATTTATTATTAGGATGAGCTATTAAGGCAGTAATAACAGCCAACATCAATGGAAGGAATAAAAAGCAAACAAAAGAAAAAGAAGATTTGACCGGCTCAGATTTGAGGAGAGTAACTGTTTAGTCTGAGCATGTTGGCTGCAGACTCTTATACCATTAGGTATAGTAAAGATATTAACTACTAAACCAGTTTCTTGCCTTTTGCAAAATGACTAAAAATTAACATTTTCCCAGAAGTACGAATAGTTCTGCAGTGCACGAAGCCTGTTCACTAATGACTGAAGTTATGGTGGACTGATTGATCCACATAAGTGGCCTCATTAAGAGCTCATCACCTGAGATTGGAAATGGATATTTGATGATGACAATTAACTGGGCTCATCCTGTTCCCTTTCTACATTCGAGCTTAGTTTCTACTCAAATTCACAACTTGACACTGCAAATGGGGATAAATATGAATGTGATACTGCAAAGGAAATGTTGTCATTGTCAAACTCTTTCCTTTCCCCTCACTGTTCTCAATTCAATTTAAAAGGAGTTCAAGTGGCAATTACTTGATAACATAACACAAATCCTTTCTTTTCCCTCTTTCATCAGTATAACACAAGTCATTTTACAAAATACCTGTTTCATTACAATGATTTCTAATCTTTCGCTGTGGCTATTTGGATGCCATTGGGTCAAGTGTTCCCTTGGGAGGAGAGGTTTAAATATTTAGATAATTATATTATTGAGTGGGTAGAAATAATTTGTTTCTAACACTGAGCGGCGTAGCCAGAAATTGTATTCTATATTCTTTTCACCTGTCTGAACAGCATTTGGCCAGATATGTATTTTTCTAGCGTACAACAGACTCAGTTTTATTTACATTCCCTCTGCAAAAACCTGAAACCAACACTAGTGGTCACTTTGTCCCACAGTTTTTATCAGAATAATGAAAATCATACACACGGAACAGTGTTGCAGCCCAAAGACCCAGCGAGGTTCTGTAACCTATATTTGTATGTATTGTCACATCGCACCCCACTGTCAGCAACATCTGATTTCTTTCATATTTTCTAATATTATATATGTACATTTTATATACATTTACATTTTTTCCAATTGAAGCAACCTAAAGAAAGTTCAGAAATGAGCACTGGATGTACAGTATGACATAAGAAAATAATGAATTCATGGCATCAGTATATATGTACACTTTCACATACATTTCTGGGTTTTCACAAAGTGAAAGGAACTGGAAAACCATTTGTATGTGTGTATGTCTATGGAAGCTTGTTTGATATTTGATATAGGGCCCACAACGTGCCCTTGACCAGGGTGACATACATTTCACATGCATTACAGATGTAATCCATTCTAATGAGTTTGGATTTTTATCTTGTCGGGCACAAAGAGCTCAGGGGAGGTCCAGCACTCGGCGCAAGATAAACATTGCCGCGCTGCACAATGGGTTTTTCATTGTTTGTTTTAATGTGAAAACAAATATCCTTAGAAAATTGTACGAGCTTGTATCCATACTGCAGTGGAGACTGCAGATGATTTACCTGGATGGGGCATTAGGCACCGGGGGTGGACTTACAAATTGCAGTCTAGCTCGGCTTACTAAGCTTTAACTCCACTGAATGTTACATTTACTCCTCTTCTAAAGAAAAGCAAACTCTATTCAGCCACAATTATTCCAGTAATAGCATGAGAAATATACAAGGACAGCCTCCCTTCGCTGACAACTCAGCCAATTACACCTGGATCCCATTGTTTTGTTGGTTTTAGGATGCTGTTTTCTGCCTAGTGTGTTTGTTTCTGGCTGTCTATTGGAATATCTGTGTAACCCAGGAAGTAGAAGGCCATGTTTTTCAGTATATAATTCAGTAGCCTTTATATTTGCAGACAATATTGAGAAGGTTGTGGCAAGGTTTGTACTTTCATATTGTATTTCATAATGATTTATGGTTTAAAACATCATCATGATCGTAATGCTTACTGAGACCAAGGATAGAGCTTGTAAGACATTTAGAGTCTGAGAATTTGTTACACACACAAAATTAACTATTTACACTGAGATATGCTTGAGGCTGGTGGTAATGACACAAATACATATCCATAAATCAATGCTTTTGCTACTGCACAAAAATTGCCCATACAGACATCTTCATCACTGCCATTTTATGCATTAGGCATTTTCCTGGCTCCAAAAGTTAACCCTGTAGCAAAAGAGGAAGTTCAGCTTCCTTCCCACATTCTGTGTTGGCGTCCTGGCAGTTATAACAACATAACCGAGATAAAAAAGACACTTAGGGGCTTTAAGTAGCATTTCTAACTAATGCATAGAATCTCAAGATGGTGCATGTTTTTGTGGACTAACCTGTGTCCTGATCACAGATCTGCTCGCAGGGCTCAGTGGTCCTCTGGCCGCAGTTGTCCAGAACCCACTGTGTGGATGAATTGGTCTGATAGTAGAGGGTTAGCTTGGCGGGGTTTAGCCAATTAGAAACATCCAGGAAGCTGCCCATGCTCACCACAAAACTACTCCCTGAAAAAACAAAGACAGAAATGGAGACTTTATATTCTTCCAATGGTCTTTTTTACTCATCCGTAGCGTCCAGCACTGTAACTTTTTGGGGATGTTTCAGCCACAGCTAATGCCACATTCCTATTTGTGGCACCAGCGCTACATATTCCCCCCAAAAGAGTAAGTATTACTCTCACTGACAGAGGTGGGGAGTAGGAGGAGGAGGTGGAGGAGGGCAGCCGTTCTGAACTCCTACTTTAGACTCTCGTTTCCTGATCCTATTGCATTTGTTACTTGAACTGGGAGAGTCATTTATTTTCACTGTAATTTCAATTCCCCCGCCCTGACCGGGCTGCATTTAAATGAGAAAATTAAGACCCGTAATGTGTGTATCGATGGGATTTCCCGAGTGATTGCAGTAAAGGGGCTAAAAGAGCTTCACAAGTCACTCAGTGAATGCTATGCTCGTTGGCATTGACTTACCTTTTGTTCTTACTGCTCCCAGACCAATCTTTAAACTCTGATTATTGAACAAGATTATCCTTAATTGATGCCAATGACTTTAAGTTCCAAAGGGAGCCTTGGAAGATTGTCTTTTAGCCCTCTAGTGAATACAACTATATTGTGTACTAATTGCTGAACGGGTCTGTAAATTGGGGAGAAGCTTTTGCAGCCGATATACATGTCAAATAAAAAATGTGTTCAGCTAGGATCTAAAATTGCAATTGTAAAAGCAATTGGTAAACATGATTCCCTCATTAATTGATGTCCTGGTGTGAGAATCTAAGTTGGTGGTCTCCATGCTGGTTTATTTCTAAAGAGAGGAGCAATGCATGATGAGTGATGGATGAGTGACAAGGCCAATGCCCTGCAGCAAAAATGCACAAACCAGAAGAGTAATACTTTACCCTACAAATAATGCTGATGACATATTTACTGTACTGTATTTCATTTTACTATCCTTTTTCGCTGTTTAAGTTGTATTTTCTGACTTCCTGGCCAACACTGTGTTTACCAAGTATTCTTTTGGCATTGCCTTCAAGTAAATGTTGCATTAGCTTGTAGCCATTGTTCTGCTGCACCTAAAGTATACATTTGAAGTCAGACATTGATATGCAAATGAATAGATATACGTCTTCATGGGACAATATACAAGACGGTGGTCGGATATAATGAGCTGTAGAAAGGCTGCATATATTCTTGCTACTTTACACACTAGTCAGCGAGTTTGTCCTCCATTTTTTAAATGACTATATACTGACTTTTCATAGACGCGCTTAAAAAGCAATTATCAAGTACAACCAAAATGAATTTTCCGGATGGAATTTTCAAAGAGCATCACCCAAGTCAGGCTGACCAGAGGTGAGCACTGCGGTTGGTGAACAGCGCTGCCAGTAGCACTCATTTGCTGGGAATGGAAAAATTCAATGCTGTCAGCTCACACAGGTAGGAAGCGATTGTTAGATTATGGGTTGGTTTCCCTGAAACCCCTCCTGAGTAGTAAGAACATTGCTGATTGCTAGCAATTGTCCTGTGCATATTGTGAATTGAGTGCAACAGTCTGAGGGAAAATGATTGTGTTTGAGTAAAACTCTTTCAACTGCTTTGACAACAGGTGTGGAATAGAAATCATTGCACATCGGCGGCAGTTAATCATATAAACATCTAGCTTGATCCATTTATCAATATTTGTTTATCTATAAACATCCAGGCCCACGCTCGCACACATCCAACACTGACTGACATCTCATTTAAATCGAATTATGTATCTTAAAATCCTATTTCACAAAACAAATATCTTTGCTTCCTAGACTTAATATCAAATCTGTACTAATTTGTAAAAAAGAAATCCCATGATTCACTTCGCCACTCCGGAGTGCTAAACTATTAACCATTGACCTCTTTGACCTTCAAAGAGATACATGCATTACCAACATGTTAGATTAGGCGGTGTTGGTTCTGATGTTGACCGTACAGTCGTGCATTTCTCGCTTCCTCCGTGTTCTTTATCGCTAGAGTAAATATCAGCCCTCAGTGCCGTGTTGTTTGTGGTCAGCTCTTGTTCCGTCTCCCCTACTCACTCATTAGCTCCCCTATATTAATATAATAACTTAGTATGTTACTCGCACATATCATATGCTTTGCATTGTAGCCACACTGCATTATGGTCTTTATTCCTGTATGCCTAATCCTTGTATGTATACGTGGTTTTGCCAGTTTGGATTTGTTTTGTTTGTTTATCTGTTGGGTTTGTTTGTTTGTTTGCACAGATTCCTTGCACGCTGCCCACTGTACGCTTGCCAGACTAATGGGTCAAGCCACCCTCTTATCACATCTGCTCTGCCTCAGGTGTCTCCTTTGAGTATCTGAGATCCAACCCCCATCTAAAGGAAGTTTGTAGAAGAACAACGTAACTAATGTAAATATTAAAATGATCTGGTGATTGCGAACATCTATGGAATATTTCAACCAAACCATTCATCACTGTTGTCTATGTCTTAAGTTCTGAACTTAGCATTGGGTCAGAGGTGAGCTCCCAACTTTTGACAAAACATCTTGTGAGTATCTGCCTTTGTTATTAACGGTGGAGCAAAGGTGGGAAGGTCGGAACAAAACAATCAATCATTCCACAGTGACTATGCCTAACGGCATTAAAGTTCTCAGCACGTTGACTGTATCAAAACTAATACTAAAAAAAACACATCAACACCCTATGTTAAAAAAAAGAAGAAAAAAATCTAAAGAGTGAACATTAAACGTTTTTTTTACACCATATATTCGCTTATATTTACCAGGTGTCCATCTTGCTGGTTGAAGATTTGTGTACTGTTCCATTGTGTCTGTATGTGCACACAAATTGAGGGTGTGTGGGTGGAATAGAAATGAGGCCCTGGCGGCAAGAGCACCTGATGGAATGATAAGTGAATGCTTTCAGAGATATGGCAATCATTAGTTAAATGGCTTCAGCTCCTCATTCCCTCCAACTTCGCTTAACTCCTTACTCGTTTTCAATGTTGGCCTTTCTTACCTCCCAGCAAGGTTGTTAATGTGGTATCTTGCCAATACACAAACCCAATTTACAATTATCCCAAAGCTGAACGATGAAATGAAAAAAGACTCTCTAGGCAGTTGACTGGGCCCCTAAGAAATTGATTATCCTGAATTGGCATTTATTTTCAAAAATATATTTTATTATTATTTTATTATTGTTTCGACGCTGGCATGTAAAAAATAAATTGGCAGCTAATTTTTTTTCATAGAAAAGTTTGGGTCCAGGTTTAGTCTGTTAGCGGGTCATATAATGCTTGTTGTGTGTAAAGCAGCAATACAACACAAATAAACCTCGGAGTGAATAGAATCGTTGGGTAGAACAGGTTTGTATTCAAATCCATGCAGCCACATGTAATAAAGTCCTCACAATGAATCCACTGCAAAAAAAAGAACAAACCCTTCATCAGTCAGATGGCTCCATGTGTCATTCAGTTGTTTGTGGGGACAATGAATCATTTCTCTTTTCTTTTCTATCTGGAGCTTTCAGTCAGTCGACTTTGTTGTCCCAATTCATTTTTAATTTTTTTTTTGCGCGGCTCTAGCACATCATTTACTTTTTGTCGGATGGATGGGCGTCGTTTGAACTTTATCAGTCGTGCAGAAGGGGCACTGACACTGAAAAGCATTAAGATGTAGAACCACAAATCACAGTGGAGGGGGTGGAAATGTTATTGCACGCCATTTGTAAATAGAAACAGTGGAAGCGTTGAGAGCTGCCCCTGGTCCATTAGCTCTTCCTCCCAACAACAAAAACTATACAAATTGCATAATATCTTGCAGCGTGTGTATGCGGACCGTCATCCCTTCAGTATGCTGCTCAAATGACAACTGTATCCAATTATAGCTGTAAAAGAAACAAAAGGTGGAGTACAGGCTATTATCATACCACGCTCTGCAAATCCACCCCCTTTTCCAACACAATGCTCAGCTTCACGTAATGTACCAGGATCTCATCCTACACTTGTCACAAATGTGATAATTGACTTCAGTCTCGCAATCGAGTTCCATCGTGTCTTGTTGGTGAGCAGTATTTCCACCTCCCCTTTTTTACTTTTGTGTTTTATATCTTATAGTTTCGAGTGCAATGAGGAAAACAGATACAAGGCTAAACACAAAAAAAAGATTTTCCCTTTTGTGGAATATTCAACCAAGGTCTAATGCACGTGTTGCTCTTACCATCGGCAATGAAATGCTCAGGTACATGGAGCGTAACCTTGACGGTGAGGGGGCACGATTCCTGCGTAGCGTAGACAATGGCGATGACACACGTGCTGATGGTAATCAACGTGAGGGTCACCTTATTCAGGGGACTGTGTGAGTGGCCTAGAGGGAGAAAAAAAAAGAACAGTTTGACTGAAACCCTTTTGATTTTTATCAGGCCCTCGGACGCAAGGTTGTATTCCGACCTCCCGTTAAAGACATAAAGCAAACCTTCAAACTGTATCACCCGCTATGGCTCGCCTTGTTGAAAACGCGGCCTGTGACTCCCATAATCCTTGAAAATGCAGTTCGTTGATTGAACCCAGATTCCAGAGTGCGGCCCGAGAAAGAAAAAGGATGATTGAGAATCCCCGGGCTTCTGCCACGATGCCCACGATCACCTACCAGTGTGATGAACGATCTTATTGCCACTGACAGGGTTATGGATTGATGGTTTTCGTTGCCCTCTGGCTCTGTCGGGGCTCCCATTTCCAAGGCGGATATAGGAAATAAAATTAGCCGCTTAACCTCTTGTCTCGTGATGTTTATTATGGGAGAGAAGTAATGTTGATGGGAGGCTCACTGGAATGTGATCAATGTATTTAGGCTTCACTTAACAAACGTTCTTAAGAAGAGATTTCTCCAGGAAACCCACTTAAGCAGTGGAGGTTCTTACAAAGCACCAGAGCTCCACCCTCTTTCAGGCACGTATGGGCGTTTCAATCTGCTGTGTCCTTTACCTTCTCTGAAAAGGATGACATGCACTTTGAATTCACAAGGTCATTTGTATTATATGACATGAAGATCAGGAGGACGTTTATTTTCTACTACAAATTTGAGCAAAAAAACACACATAATGTTTTAGAATCTGCATGCTTGAAAACGTGATGCCTAATATGTGCCATGCACTGTGCAGGTTTGTTGGAAAAGCCGAATGTAACAGCAGGTCGGTTCTTGTTCTCCTGTTTTTGGCAGTAGAACTCGGGTGTTGCAAATATTTGTCCTTGCAGATCTCCCTCCAGAAAAACAAAAATATAACAAGCCACACACATTCTAGATGTTTTAACATTTTACTACAGTACAGTGCCATTTTTTTTACCAATTATTGCAAAGTGCAAATAGAAAAGCAAACAACCATTCGGAATAAAGGTTAATAAGTAAAGCTTTGGAAGTTTGGAAGTGATGAAATGCAGCTCAAGGTCAAAACCGGGGAGACAAAGCCAGGACGATAACGAATCCCCACACACTGAACGGCGTCTCAACCACAGTCACGATGTTGTGAAGGGACAAGAACACCTGTCCGCGGCGAAAGTGGCAGAGCAGCTAATCCCTTGTGGGTAGTGTCACCGGGCGCTCGAAGGGCCCCTCAATTACTATAAAAGCCTACTGAGTGGAGAGAAGCATGAAAGCTCACGATGGCAAACACTTTATGGCCACAAAACATATATATCTATATATAGATACATATAGATGTACACCTGGATACAGAAACAACCTCTCTGTTTTCTCTTCCGCCGAGCTTCCACTATCACATAGGAAGGTAAAAAAAATCCTGCTTCCCCGCAAAGTAATGTGACTCAGCTTTGCTCATCAACTGAGCCTCCATTTACATCTGCTCATATATCTGCGTTGAGTGTCACTGAGCTGGTCCACGGAACAGCACTTTAAACCCCACAGGGAACGCGCGTGACTCCTTCCTACTTTCAGCTATGCAGACGATTTCCAGAAAGGTCGAGCCTCATTTCACCCAGCTACAGGCTCATATTTTACCAGGGGAAACTGAACTGAATTCATTTTTTTATTCTAAATGCATTATTGTTTGTAGTGGATAAGAGGCTTCCCCCTGTGAGAGTTAACGTGTTTTAACACCTGACAAACGTATAATAACAGCTCACGCCTGCTTTCGCTCTCACCTTTGCTGCGCCTTCGTCCTCTGTGCTGCTCTGTGTAAAACTTTGTTTGGCTGTCATCCTCAGGCTCGGACCCTGATTCCCCCTGAGGGCCAAACACACCTCCCGGTGCTGAGAGTGAGAAAAGGAGAGAAAAGAAGAAGAAAAAGGAATTGAGAAGTAAGTATATCAATCAAATAATTTGATACGCAACTATTAACAAGCATGTGCTGTCGAAGTTACTCAACATCGGTTAGTTACGAGGTCTTGAGAAAAATGGGATTATATTTTAATTTAAGTTGAATTCAGTACAGTTTGAAGAAAACTAAATTCAAATGCTAGCAATTTAGGGCACTTCATTCATTTTTCTTTTTTGTCATTTTCACTTGTCTGAAACAATTGGCATTATGATTGCATTGATATTTTAGGGAAATACAGCATAGATTTCAGATTGCAGAGAATGATTTATTAATTTACCATATGATTTATTCATATGAGGAATTATCAATTTCTAGAACCTGAAGAATTTGAATTATCATAATATTATTGTAACGTGTAATGAAATTGTAAGGAACATATGAGTGTAGTATGGTAATCCTTCTGCTGTCATACAGGATCCTCATTACTGCATAACTGAAATTCAGTGATAACGGACGGATTGTAGCCTGTATATTGGACTCCGAACACATTTTCATGGTAAACCAATCAAAACGTACTCTTGCTTATATCCTCTTTGAAGGCCAATGTGATCAGAAACATGTGCTGTTTATATGTTATATCTTACAGATGGAGAATGGGTAGTGATCCTAACTTTACAAAACAATCATGTGTGGTGCTTAGTAAAAAATACAAATGTTGTTATATGCAATATTTATTAAGAAAGTAAGAAGTTCCACCTCTCCACACTTCCTGACCCTCTTTGTCCGGTCTGTCGGCTGCCATATTTGTCCATCGTTAGCAAGTCTCTGGGGCTCATCCCCAGAGTGTGTGCATGCCTGTTTTTTCGAGTAAGAGTTAAGAGGCTTTTGTTTGTACTGGGTTACCACTTCGACATCAAAAAACATATCAGAATGCACAAGGGCTGCCAATAAGTGATAATTGCCGGGGATTTGCAAAGTGTAAAGCCGCAGATGGATGACTAAGACATATAAAATAGATCAACGACGTAAGTCTGTGTGTGTGTGTGTTAATTCATGTAAATCAAGCAGCACTTTTTAGTAATTTAGCCATGAATAAAGTTTCACCATAAAGACATGACGCTATGCCAATACCATCAATCCGATTTCCTCGTGGTTGTACACGGTTTGCTTTTAAAATCCCCGGGATCATCCAGATTACACTTCATAATCCAAGAGCGGAAAGGGGATAATGGACTGAAAGAAAATCAATGCGTTTCTGTTGGCTGTGAAGGAGCATCTCTGATAAAGACATGACCGTAGAAATGAGGATGCGTGCGTAACAAAAAAGTACAATAGGGTTGTGTTGTATCGATATTGTGATCCATATCGCTCAAATTTTACTTCTGTAAGAGGCAAAAGCTTCACCCCCACAGGGGTAGTTATAGGTCATAGGAGGACATCTAATTGCTGTCTATTGGTAGTTGTTTACTTCATAGATAATAATTGAAAGAATGCGCTGCATTTAGAGTTAAATAATAATTAAAAGGATTGTACTAATACATGTTTACGTTTTAGTCACAGTGAACCCATCCTTTCACAGGATCAAAAAACGTGTTCATTCATTTAAACAAAAGTGGGCCACATTTAAAACAACAAAACTATTTCAAAACATCTCTTTGCAAACCTTCGCACAACTTCTGCGGTAAACCAAAGTCTAATTTATCCAGTCGGATCAACATATGAATCTTTGCAACACTTCTGCATGAAAAAGTCTCCCTCGCACTTGCACAGCCCCACTACTTTTCTGTGAGGTTCACAAGTGCTTTAATTGGTTTGAGTGAAGAAGCATGTGTTATGCTCAGCATATGACTGAATAAATGAGACCAGGATTACACCGCGCAATGTGTGACAGTTTGTAAATGTGTTATTTTGCTGTTGTTAAACTCTGCCCCCCGTTGAAATTAATTCCCCAACACCTTTCTCTGTTCTCAGAGTCTCCGTTAACCGTGTCGGCATGCTGTGTATACATATTCATCTTTTGGGTTGTTTTTTGGTTTGTTTCCTTGAAGAATTCAAAGTAACGCAGGATGACTGATTGATACAGACCAGTTTCTTTTAGTGCTCATTTTTACAGTCCTCGGCCACCAAAAGCTGATCACTGAACACTTTCAAAGATCAGATTCCCTCTCAAATTGAAAAGGAAAGGACACTTAATTAATGGTTAAGAATACCCAAATATGAAAATATCAACTTCTGATAGAATTAACTTCAGAACATTCTTTGGTTCTAGTACAGAACAGCTGCTTTCTTCTGAAATAGTTGTGGATCAGGGAAAGAATTCATTTCACCTCATCACAACCTGTTTTTAATTCCCCTAAACAGTCTATTTAATAATAATCTACCTTTTCATAATGTGCTTATTTTCAAGGATAGTGCAACATATTCTTCTTCCTTGTTCATTGGACGCGGTCATCACTCTGCAATGGAGTTGCACTCTGCGCGGTGCAACTGCATTGCAACGCAGATAAAATCTCCTCTTACTCACTTAATGTATATTATGTGAGCTCGTGAAAATGCCTACTCCCTAAAAGACGGTAGACATGATAAAACTGCATATTAGGCGGGTGTAAAACGTGCTTGCAGAAAGATGAGGCCATTCTTTTGGTCGGGTGCGCTCATACAGGTAGAGTGGAGTTGCCTTTTGAGTGCAAGAAACTGGCGGTATTTGCAGAGCGCGGCCGAGGCAATGTGCTGTAAAATTGCGTCTGAATATATGCGACATGTTCTGTGCATGCCCGAGAGGTTGTGGATGAAGACGAGAGAAAAATACTCAGGAGGAGACCGAAGCAGAGTCACATAAATATGTTAAAAAGGGACAATCGTGAAGCCTAAAAGCATCCGATAATAGTCATACTTCATATTTTAAACATCCCATGAAAAGGTTTGAATGATTGAAACACATACAAATCAGTCTATTATACTCTGTACATTTCAACAATACATATTTTCATGGTACATTTATTGAATTCATTGGCAGAGACCTGATTTTCTATGCGTTTACAGTTCATATGCTCTTTAACAGCATCCCTAAAGTATTTCTTTGGTTAAAGTGAAGTTTTTTCTGTGCCGCTCTAAACAAATGTAGTTTTGGTAAACGTTAAGGAAGAAGTCAGGTGTACAAAGAGTGACAACACCTGCTGACTTTAAACTTACCTTGATTGTGTAGCAATTTTCATTACTATTGTGGCCCATCGAGGAAGCTCGTGTTTACTTTAATTGCGCTTCACAAGGTAAATAACTGCCAAGGTAAATAACTCTTCATTGGCTATTAGTGAATGATTCATCTCTGGACCAGATTTATACACACGAAAGAGCACAAATTAACCTTCCGATGAATGAATCAAGAAGCATGAGATTAGAGCCTGATTTACTAAAGTTGGATCTCACAGCATAATCTTTTTCAGACAGCCTTGTAGCTCATTTTTAGTAGTGATCATTTTGTAATGGTGAAATAAGATGAATTATTACATTTCAGTAGGTCTGCAATTTCAAAGCATTGGCTTTGTGCAGTCGGAATATTTGAAATAAAAACATGATCTTCTGAGGAGAGGTGAAAAAAAAAAAGTTTGAATGACGAGCAAATACGTACAAAACAACCCTAATGAATTTACAGACAGAGGTCAGTGAACATCAAAATGTATTTCATGTTTAATAACTACCAAACAACAACAGCCCCGCCGCAAGCCTGAAGGATAAGCAGCTTTGAAGAGGACTGACAACAACAACAACAACAACAAGTCAGGGTGCCCTCTTTGTTCACTACTATAAAAGGTGGACCTTTTCATAATACTGAACAAAGAGGATATTGCCGTCTCTCTTTCTGTCTGTACTGCAATTGTTCATTTCTTTCTCAAACATGTTTTGTGCAGTAATGTGAAATTCCCGAGCACATCTTTTGAGATTTGTTCACTTTCTGATTTAAAAAGAAAAAGAAGCCGGCCAGATAAAACATGAATAACAAAACGTCAACAACACATGTATATTTTATATATTTCTGCCGTGTGTGTGATTCAATGTTTCACTGATCACACAAATACACAGAATGTGAGTGTCTGTGTATGTGTGTGTCATTTAGATGTATTGTATAACCGAGCGAGGGCATTGGTTTGACAAACAACACACGCGAGGATACGTCTCAAGGAGCAAAAATCTTTTGAAATACAGCCCTGGAACTTTTCTATTTCACTCCTTTTTATTCTCTTTTCAAAATACTTCTCCCTCTTTAAGTCCTTTTCTGTTGTGTGGATCTTGTTTTTTCTCTCCCTCAGACGTTGTACCTCCCAAAACACTGAGGCTAAACCCCAGTCAGCACTACAAGTCCCAATTACTGGGCCGTGCCAATCTCACTTTCACAGTTTCTCTCAAGCTCCTGAAGTCCATTGAATCATTTCAGAGTGCTCCCAGTCTTTTTCAAGCTGCCTCCATCTGTTTTGCCCTTCATTGAATTAGTTAAAATAGTGCATTAACCAACACAAACGTCCCTGCTTGAAATTAATTTCTTTTATCTACATTTAAATACTGCGCTGTAATTACTTCTCACAAACTTTCAATCAACACGCGTGCAATACTATCTGGGAAATTGACATTATTCACTTAATTCTCTTCACAGTCAGCATTTGATAAGGAGAAGACACCTGCTGTCATCATTAACGTTCCTCCGACTACAGCGTGTTTTTCTGTACAAAACTGTATTACGCTCTCCGACTACACGGCACCTCATCTCACCGTGCTGCGCTGGGTACGAATAACAAACGTAGACGAAAAATTAGGGCATATTGTTTAGTATCAGACGTTAAGATGAACTATAAAATCCAAATTCATTAGATATATGTGTGTATATTATCACACAGACACAAACATACATTGGTATTGAGCGTTGATAGTTAAAGATGGAGGTAACAGATCAATTAAAAAAAGAAAAAAAACAAGAGCAGATAAGAAGAGAACGGCTAT